GGATTGATCAACGACATATGCTTTATCCTTTATCCTTTTATCCATTTTCTTATTAAGAACGTCAGCCCTAATACTGTGAAAGATCGTGAACTTTTTCGAAATATTCAGGAATTTGGAATTAATAAATATTTCGATGAAAGCTAAAAAAAAACTATGAAAGGCGTTTCAATTTTGAAAGCTTCATAGTTCCTTAGTTTGCGGTCGAAAAGCTTCCAACTTTTGTAGTAGCGTTATTTATGTGCTCATTATTCAAGCAATAAACAATAGCAAGAAAAGAATTTTAACGTAAAAAATTCAGGGCTGAAGGTTAACTCTGAGGGCTACACGATAGTATCGAAAGCGTTGAGTTAGCGTTGGGTTGAAGCAAAACTGGCCAACGTCAACCCAACCTGTTCGCATAAACTGGATCCTACTATAACTAGCCATTCGTCTGACAATTCGTGTAGACGTTAGCCTTATCACGCTTGGATGTTATATATAAGATTACGAGTTGGGACGTGAAGCAGGTAAGGTGTCCTGCACAATAAAGACTCAAAAACACAAAAAAAAACAATTAGGAGTCAAAGGAGTTTCTCCTGGTGCTGCACTTCCTGGGCAGAAGTCCGGGTTAGTTCTGCGCTGTTGCCGACTCACAATTGATAGAGTCGATTACCGTTAAGTATTCGAATAAAGGATTAGTTGCTCAACACTGCTTAACTTTTGGTGCGCGCCACGCACTTTACATCCGTTTAGTATAGCAGCTGCATTTGAATGAGTGCTGGGCAATCGAGAGCTTTTTCGGCCAGTTAGTGAACAAACAGTGTCTACTCACCTTTTTGGGAGTGTTGCGTAAAAGCACCTCAAATGGGCGGAACATGCATTAGGTCGAGCCTATTTTAAATGGAATTTCACAGCAACACGTGAGTGTACTAAAAACCTCTTGTTCCCTAATCTATCAATTGCTATTTCGCCTGTCGAGTTTGAATTGAACGCAGTTATTAGAACAGGAGTAACTGAGTTTGAAAATTGTCAGTGGGGTTGTGCATTCGATTCATGCATTGGAGTTAGCAGACCTTTGCATCAAAACTAACACAGCAAAGATTGGGAAGACATTGGAAGCTGGGGAGTTTTCAGTAGGGGCGGGCACCGAAAAAAATCGCGCTAGCAAAGAGCACGGCGTGTTCCAGAAGGAATATGCGCGTATGTCCCCTGGCTGCGAATGGATCGGGGAAACGACAATGAAGTAAAAGTTTGGATGAAATTTATAGCAAATTTATGATTGCCAACCCACTGTAGAATTTCTGAACTTTCTTCCATCAGATTTGTCCCCCAGCATCCGGGCGGTCATGTTTCCCCGAATAGGCTTTACGCCACAATGTCTCCCTTTGACACCATCATCTTAGCAAGAAACGTTGTTTAAAAAAGTTATTTTGTATAGTAGAGGAAGGAAAACGTTGCAACTCGAGGCATAATGCCAAAAATACTGACGCCCTACTGTCGCTGTTTTTCCTCCTCACTCCCTACATCTTCTACTCTCTTCACTGAGCTTCGGGTACGTGAAGTGACCGAGAATGTGCTTAGTAGGAGTGTCTAAAGGTAAATCCATCACTTTCATAGTAATGTAATCTTCGGGTTTTAGGCAATCCCCGGATTATAGCAATCACCCATTACAACAATCCACGGCAACCAGCAAACCGGAGCTTCTTAAGCTCTTTTAAAACGGACCGTGCGTCATTCCGTCACCTGCCCATAAATACACTTCTTTGTGTAAAACGACAAGTTAAACATACCCACACACCGAATCCACACATTGGATTTCACGGCTTAATTATTAACTAAGGATGTCCTCTAGGCTAATAATTCAATTTGCCCATATCTAACGGTAACAATCCTTCACCTCATAGTGGAAATTCTTGATTACAATGGCCTCGTAAATACCAAGTATGTATTTATTGATCTTTGGCGACCCAGTTCTTGAGGCTAAATAGTGCAAATATAAGCCCTTCTTTTCTACAACAATTTGAAGCTGAGAAAGCCGAACATATTTCCAACACCATTCAAGAACATGCACTCTATTAGTAGAATCACACGTACTTCAAAACCTTTTCCATTTTCGCATGCGTCCACTAAAGTCTTTAAAATTTGTGTCCACAATTCGACTATTGTATACATCTGCATATATTCAGAATAAGAATAGTTTAAGTACTGATCTACCAGATTAGATGAATCAATAGCTTTTTAGGAACCGAACCACCACCCACACCCCCCCCCCAACGACCGTCTATCCCAAGCGATTACTATCATCACCACCCCCCTCTCATTCAGAGCTGGCCAAAACAAGAACACAAGCTACACCCTACCACCCGACACACCCACCCCACCTCCCTCTACCACAACACTCACTTTCCACACCTTCCCACCGACCACTCCACCAGCCCCGCCTACCCCAAATTACTAACACGCACTCGTCATCGAGGCGCCGCCCACACCGCAACCCCACCCCCTCCCCAAACAGACACCCCCTGCCGCCCCGCGACGAGGTCCACCTGCCCACCCGACTGGTAGTAATTGCGGCTAAAATAGGCCGACACACCCCCCAAGCTCCATCCTCCTGCCTCCTTAGGCGCGACCCCCTCCGGCGGTTGAATCCTCCGCCCCTACGCATCACTGATACTTCGTATACGATGAATGAATCTTGTAGGTTGAAATAGTGTTTGGACGGGTAGTTTCCTAAATGGCTTTCGACTTTTCCAGGCTCTGAAGAAGGTGAAAGCACCGAAACGTCGGCCAAATAAAGCTATTGACAATCTTGGTCGGAAGCTCAGTACTAAACGATTCTATTCAAAGTTGTTGTTTCATCAAACGCATTTCTTATTTTTCAGATCCTTAATGTTGGACTTCTTTGCGCCTATAACGACACTGGGATTGCGAGGGTGAATTTCTTATCCAGTGAAATATTTATCGTATAACTTATGTTGTTGTGTCTTTACCCCTGTATTTCGTTACTTCTGCCAATTTATTATCAATTTTCAGTTTGTTGGCTGGAGGGAGACTGCCGGCGCAGTGGGCGTCGCTTGGGACAAAATACAGGCCGACGGCATATTACCTGAATACGATACATTAAAGTTAGTGCAAGCCAAGATAGCTTAATCTTTTATTAAAGAATCGGTTTTTGCGGCGCTCAAGTACCGCGACGCGTCTTCCGGGTGGTGAGAAATGGAATGTAGAAAGCCATCAAACCCAGTATCCCAGAAATGTGGTTCAATGCTCGGTGCTAACGTAGTTGGAGGTCACGCAGCGGCACGGGCGCTCTGTTCGTCTACGCCTCCTAGCAAGCTTAGCCGCGTGTTGCGCAGATTTCGGAGGCCCCACTTTAGGGAGGTCCCTGATACGATCCTCTCCTCGCCATCCTCGACATCCACAACACCGGTCGACGCAGTCCAACCCGCTCCAAATCGGCAAAACGGCCATCGACCGGGAGATGGGAAGGGATAGGGCCAGCGTATCAATTTGTTTATTTCTTTCGCGTTTTTTAGTCAATCATGCCAAAATCGTCAAAACCCTGTCAAACACGAACCCCCTCTGAAACCGCCACCCACGACTTCTCCACCTACGAAAATATGACCTCATCCCTCCACAAAAAATACGAATGCGACCCTCTCGTTGAGAAACCATTGCACGGTTGACCCTACCCCCAAGGCTTAATCTGGACTGCCGCCATTATTTCGAAATGCTTTGCAGCGGTGATGGTGACGGCCCCTCAAGACTAAGCCTTGGTGAACGCAGGGATGAGCGCTACTGTCCATTTGTGATGGTCGTAGTTGTGTTGTGTCGTGGTTGCCTGTGAAGTAGCTGGTGGGCGGTTGAATAACTATGCAATGACTTGTGGGGGCCAGCCGATGTTCAAGTCAGTGTTTTTTATCCTCCCAGACAAGTCTGGTACCAATTAACCGACCCCGGAGGGATGGAAGGCTTGGTTGGCCCGGGCGACTCACGACCCAGGATTTGATCCCGGACCGCTCGCGTGGTAAGCGTGCCATGCTACAGCCATTCGCCTTGAATGAATTTATATTATTTTTTAGTCCCTGGGTTTCCTCCTTGCACGATTGGCCGTCAGATTGCTCTCCACAGTTAAATTGGTGTAAACTGCTCTTAGAAAGAGAAATAGAGAGAACAGAGAATGAAATTTTGTCCTTGTTCGGTTATGGGTCGATAAAAATAAATTCAGTCTAACCTGGGTGATGGGCGACTGTGTGGAATCGGTCGATGCCGGAGCGCTGATCAACTGGGTGGAGAGCGGCGCCGACGTCGTGCTCGGACCACCGTGTTCCGGTTGTAAGTCCTCTCTTTATTTGAATGCCTTCATAGAAAGAAATGGCACTTGCTCTAGTACTACATTGCAATTCAGCCGAACTGTTCCAGATGTTGCAGTGAGCTAGACTCATGAAGTAGTTATTAGGATTTCCACCGAAAGTAACCTTATTGGGCCGACGTTTTGGTGCTTTCACCTTCTTCTGCGCTTGGAAAAGACGAAAGCCAGTCAGGAACCGTAAATCTGCAAAACTTATTCAACAGGGTGTAATCTGATGGAGAAGTCATAGAAGATGATGACAACTAATCTTCAGAGATGCGCAGAGAGTTCCTCATGCCACCGAGCACGTATTAGCGCGGACGTAGAAAGGCAAAAGCACGATATTCTATCACTATCCACATAAAATTGACTCTCTGATCGCGCATATAAATATTGGGTGGGTGACCCGATTCAGACGTCCCTCAAAACCTAGGTTGGCTAGAACTGGCCAGGAGAAGACCATTATCACATTTTGGTGGAGTACATACGTAGAGATGGTGATGCACG